GCCTCAATTCTCTCCATGACATAAAGTGCTTCATACTTCTTCATGACCACCAGTGCCTTGTGTCTCTCTATCATACACAGGGCCTCATTCCTCTGTATGACATACAGTGCTTCATACCTCTTCATGACCAACAGTGCCTTGTGTCTCTCTATCATACACAGGGCCTCATTCCTCTGTATGACATACAGTGCTTCATACTTCTTCATGACCACCAGTGCCTTGTGTCTCTCTCTATCATACACAGGGCCTCATTCCTCTGTATGACATACAGTGCTTCATACCTCTTCATGACCAACAGTGCCTTGTGTCTCTCTATCATACACAGGGCCTCATTCCTTTCCATGACATACAGTGCCTCATACCTTTTCATGACCAACAGTGCCTTGTGTCTCTCTATCATACACAGGGCCTCATTCCTCTCCATGACATACAGTGCTTCATACTTCTTCATGACCAACAGTGCATTGTGTCTCTCTATCATACACAGGGCCTCATTCCTCTCCATGACATACAGTGCTTCATTCTTCTTCATGACCAACAGTGCCTTGTGTCTCTCTACCATACACAGGGCCTCATTCCTCTCCATGACATACAGTGCTTCATACTTCTTCATGACCAACAGTGCTTTGTGTCTCTCTATCATACACAGGGCCTCATTCCTCTCCATGACATACAGTGGCTCGCGCTACTCTATTGCATTCAATGCTTCATCCATCTCTATTAGGGCCGATTCACACTAAGAGGTCCAGCATATCACTTTTTAGGGAAGTCCATTCATTTCAATGACTGTGTGAGAAAAGCGAAAAAAAAAAGTGACGCAATAATTTTTAAAATTGCCCTGCACCATAACGCATGGTACTGTGATACCTTGTGTTATGGCGTGTGCAAATGTGCATAACATTGGCAAGATGCGTGGGGTGACCATTAGGAATTAATGGCACCAATGTGGGTCAGCAAAAGGGCAGTAAGGTTATGTTCGGTGCAGAAAAGTGTGTGATTTTTAATTCGTTGGTGAAAATGAAGCCTATCATGCAGTGCCTTATCTTTCTTTATTAAACACTGTTTCATCCATCTTTGTTGCAATACATGGTGTCTCATTTCTCTGTTATTATTTCTAATTATTACATGCAGCGTCTCAGACCTCATTATTACATGCAGTGTCACTTCCTACCTTATTACATGCAGCGTCTCAGACCTTATTATTACATGCAGTGTCTCTCAGACCTTATTATTACATGCAGTGTCTCAGCCCTCTTGCTTACATGCAGTGTCTCAGCCCTCTTGCTTACATGCAGTGTCTCAGCCCTCTTTATTACATGCAGTGTCTCAGCCCTCTTTATTACATGCAGTGTCTCAGCCCTCTTTATTACATGCAGTGTCTCAGCCCTCTTTATTACATGCAGTGTCTCAGTCCTGTTTATTACATGCAGTGTCTCAGCCCTCTTTACTACATACAATGATTCATGCCTCTTTATTACAAGCAGTGTCTCATCTCTTATTATTAAACGCAGTGCCTCATCAATTTCTATTATATCCTGTGACTCATACCCCACTACTATCTGGATTGCCAAATCCCACTCTAATACATGCAATGGCTCATGCCTCTTCATTTCTGTTTGCCCCTTCACGCACCTTTTATAATCTGATTATACAATATACACAGGTTAAGTTAAAGGATTTAAACACAGTAAGAAAATTGCTTGAAAGAAGCAATTGTGAAATGTGTGTCCAACAATAATCAGTCCAGGCACATTACAATCTGACCTACACTGTGTGAGGTCCTACCTAGACAACTCACTACTTTTAAAAGAAATCTATGGTCACAGCATACCGTTTAATGTCAGCATTGTCATACAAATACAAACAATAGTTATTACTGACAATTCAATATAAGTCTACTTGAAAAATCTCCTTTCATGTTGTGATTGCTGCCTGTCTGCTGGTCACCTCTTTCCACAACTTCCTGGATTCCCTGCATGCTTTGCAGCTTCTCCACTGGTGTTTACTTTCCATTTCTAAGGACTACAAATCCCATGGCACCTTGCTGCCTACAAGCAGTGATTCCTGTACTGACTTCGCCTCCTGAAACTCCTCCTCTAAAGTCCTCTGTTGTTCAGAAGGCAGACTCTGTGAAATGTGTCTTACAGTAGATGCTACTATCTGTATGTGGATGATGGCACCATCATTATTTTAATTAAAAAAAACAAAACATCAAAATACTTTTGTCCTAATCGACATGTGCCCAGCTCTTTTCCAACCTGTCTTCAGGGAATCAGTGGCAGGAGGAGCGTCTAGTTCTCTGCTGCTGGTCACATGCTCAAAATTGGAAAAAAATAACATCTTTTGGGATACAGAGTAAAAATAAATAATTATTATCAATAAACCATTTCAAACCATTATAGAAATATATACGTGACATGAAATGTTTATCATTTTTTGGCAATATCATGGTGTGGGTAGATTTCACTGCCCTCCAGCCTTTATCTTAGAATAACAGGAAGGTGAAGCCTCCACCAATCAAGATGTAATACCCCATCCCCCGTTGTGTTTAGCTGGTTGGTGGGCATGGAGGAGGAGGAGGGACTGGGCTGTCATTTATCACTGTGTATACACCCACATGTATACACCTCTGTAGAGGAGGAGTTTCAGGAGGCACAGTCATTATAGGTATCACTGCTAGCAGGCAGCAAGGTATCATGTAGTCCTTAAAAATGGGCAAGTAATGTGGGCGTTACTCTAAAGTCACATGGGCTGCTCAGATGTAATAGGGAGGAATGCTCAGCATAGAAGCTTACTGAAAACTGAGCATGTGCAGTAGCTGCCAACACTGCTCTGCAAAATCCTCATCTGCATTGGGGACATGGACAGAATAGGGAGCTAGAGAACAGCAGGATCAGCCAGGTTTTTGCAGAATACAGAAAACGAATCCCATAGTGAATGAGTGAGCATGAACAGCATGTAATAGAGCATTTATTGATCGTTTTTTATGATATGAAATTAATTATACTCTAAGGAAGTAAATTTATGGAGCTCGGCACAAAGTACGTTTAGAAACTTCAGCATTGTTCAGAGTAATAGGAGTAAGCTAGAAATAATTGAACTATAATGTGGAAATGAATACCTGATTTTACATTTTGACCATAGATACACTTTAAATCCAAACACCGTTTTTTTGGTAAATCTACTTGAGATTGTATCATATGGCTGAAAGTGTATAACTATCTTCAATTTATTACTGATCTGACTAATGGAATAAACGTTACACACAACCTCATCCAATTGTTTTTAAATGCATTGGGCCGTATGTACGCCCACACATCTGTATTAATTTGTACATTTCCAAAATGCAGTGAAAACTGATATGTAACCTCTTATTTTTACCGACCCTTGGCTGCTCTCGTGAAAGTGGCCCTGAAAGCCCACCAAGGAAGTCCTCAGTAGTCACACTTTTGATTTGATTTACAGTTGATTTACTAAAACTGGAGAGTGCAAAATCTGGTGCAGTGGGAGCCAATCAGCTTCTAACTTCAGCTTGTTCCATTAAGCTTTGACAATAAAACCTGGAAGCTGATTGGTTTCTATCTGGAGCTGCACCAGATTTTGCACTCTCCAGTTTTAGTAAATCAACATTGAAGAGCACCAACCTTGCACTTTCTTTTGTTCTTACTTGCAGTACTGGTCAGGTTTCACCAGCCTTTCTTAACCCCTTGGCGCTGGCGCCTCCCGGCCCTTTAAGGGTTTCAGAAGCCAGGGGGGGAAAGGTTTTAAGGTCACATGATCGGTCACGGCGGTCACATGCTCCCGATTGAAAGAGGAGATTGGGACCTTTCCGTGTGCTGGGAGCGCGCAGGGAGCGTGCAGGGAGCGTGCAGGGCGCGCGCGCTTTCAGCACATATGTTTTTCTTAATTGCACGCAAATGTGCGGCGGCTCGGCGTCAAGGCCTAGACACATTTGCGTGCGGCCTGCGCGAAGAGGTTAAGAGCTGCACAACCTTTGATCCTTTGGTGGATGAGTTTACATGGAGTTCGGTCAGTCCACCAATCCCTGATCTGGGTCTCTGAGCGCAGCAGATGTCATCTTGGTTTTACATTTAGTTCTCATGCACGCGGGACATTTTTACAGCGGCTGTTTTTGGCTTTTGATGTTTTTTTTTCTACAGCTAGTAAACCCCCCAGCATGTTATCCTATGTGTCCATTCACACACATAGACTGGAATCAACATTTTTTTTGACTGAAAAAAAAAACAGGACTAGTGGGTTTCTAGAGGAGTTTTTTAGCTGTAAAAACACTCTAACGCTGAAAAGCACGGCAAAATGTGGTAAAACACCACAAACCGGTGTTTTTGGATGTTTTTTTAACCAAAAAAAATCTTTTTTTTTGGGTCAACAAAATGCTAAAAACACAAACGTGGAAAAACGCAGGAAAATGCCGCTAAACGCTAATGCAAAAATGCTAAAAAAAAGCTGAAAAACTAACATTTTTTATGTGACTTTACACAGCTAACGTTACCAGCGTTATCAAAAACACCCCGTGTACATGGAGCCTTAGTAAATCAACCCCTTAGCGCACGGGTGTCAAACTGGTGGCCCCCCAGCTGTTGCGAAACTACAAGTCCCATCATTCTTCTGGCCTTTGGAGTCATGCTTGTAACTCTCAATCTTGCAATGCCTCATGGGACTTGTAGTTTGGCAACAGCTGGAGGGCCGCCAGTTTGACACCCGTGCCTTAGCGTGTAATCAAAATGCTTACAGGACAAAGAGAAGAATGTACAGATTCTGAGTGTCCACCAATGAGGAGGACCAGGACTAAGGGATTTCACCGTAAAAGTCAAGCTTTGAATACCAATCTGCTACTTATTTTACATATTTCTGGATCTACTGCCTATACATTTCTCATCGTTACCAGTATTTCCGAGATAAACACATATAAGTGCCTCCAATGGGAAGTGATAATGAAGTCATCTAAGCTTGCATGAAACTAATTGTGTTCATCCAATCAGGTCTTCAGCACATACTCCAACGAGGAATACGACCGCCGCAATGACGATGTGGACCCCATGGCTGCCTCTGCAGAGTATGAGCTTGAAAAACGGGTCGAGAGGCTGGACCTCTTCCCTGTGGAACTGGAAAAAGGTAAAGCACACAGTATACTTCCATGCCTCTTCTTATGTTCATTCGTACTTGTCATACCTACAGTGGTTTTGGGGTGATGATTGTCTCATGTGAAATTAAAATTGTGAATAGGTAGGTAATAAATCAATAAGATGTGACAAATGATAACAAAATAATCTCACAGCAACATAAAGTGACTTCAAGTCCCAGACAAAATATATAAAAAATTTAGAGAATAACAATCCAATGAAACGTTAACCCGTAGATCAGGAGTCCTCAAACTACGACCCGCGATTTCTTGGTGGTATGACCTGTAGACAACACTGGCTTGTGTTTGATGTACCGTTTATGTATGGAGCTTTGATTTCTAGAAATGTAAGGTCATTGAACAGTGATCTGAAAATGGTTTTATTGGTGAATGCAGTCCTGCTGTACCATAAAAACATGCTTGGAGGCTCTTGGAGTCAACATCGTACCTGTTCAACGTAGCCTGTTGTCTATCTTCTGGCTGAGGAACATCTCACATTACATGCTACTTGGAGCACTAGCTATACTTTGAGGAGAGCCTGGGATTGGGAATCCATTCAATTATTCGTTCGCCTAGAGCTCCAAGACCACCTATCTGGGGTCTTTATTCCTGTTTCCTTGGATCCATATTCCATGTCAGGAGACCAGGAGGCCAGATCCATGAGAGCTTCCTATTGGCTGTCAGTTTATTGTATGACCATAAAGCGCTTTTTTGACCACCTTAACCGGGGTCAATCATTTCTGGTGAGTGTTGAATTCACTTATTGCCTATACGTGGTAGAAAAGAAAATCTTTTGGTCTACGGGTAACATTTCATGGGACTGTTATTCACTATATTTTTAATATATTTTGTCTGAAATGTTAAGTCACTTTATGTTGCTTCTCTCCAAAGCACTAAGTGTCATTTTTTTCTGCTGTCTATTTCCTCTGTTATCAGCATGAGTCACTATTGACAAGTTCCTGACACCAAGAGAAAAAAGGTGACAGGGGAGGGAACAGCCTGTGATTGACAGCCTCAACTCTGTTCTTGTGTGCTGTGTGAAGGGGGTGCGTCCCTTTCCTCCAATCAGCTCTGAGAGTTCTTGTACAGTGTGTAACTGTAGCTGCCCGCCTCCTGCTTTGTGAGTCTGTGAAAATCCTTTTCATCTCTGAGTTTTACAGAGGTGTACAAGAGAAATGGCTGCAAATAAATAGGTACAACGTATATAAGCGGATTTGCTTCACCTCGGTGTATCACCTAAGGTCAGTCACTTCACTGGGTATTGGTTAGAGTTTACAACCATTTTAAGTAATGATGTCCCTTCTCCTCTCACATAGGGGCAGTGCAGTCAGTTGATGCTGCAGAGCAGAAAACCAGGAGAGGGGTGTTGTGACAGGCATCGTTGCCCATTTGTTGCCAAACGTACCTGCTCTTGTAGTACCACAACCACCCTTTTGTTGCCCAAGTATTGTCTTCATTGCCCATTTAATACCTATATATGGTCAGGATTTACTTTTTTGCCCATGTTTAGTCAGTGTGATATCCTCATTTGTTCCTCACCTGTGAACATCATTACTGGTGGATTGCCCATTTTTATAATCCATATAACATGCATATAATCCGTATACTGTTGCAATTGCCCATTTGGTGCCCATGTATTCTCAGGATTGTCCAAGTATGCTCATTTATTGCCAGTTTTCCCCCTATGTATTTTTGAGAGTTTGCTGCTTGTGAATTTCCTGGATTTCCAATTTTTTGCCCATGTGTTGCCCTTGCCTTATACACATGTGTCTACCTGCTATCACTTTATTGTGTTGCCCACGTATTGCCACAATTGCCAATTTGTTACTTTTGTGTTACTCCCGAGGGCAGGACAGTAGGGGCCCTATGAGATGCCCACCTTTTTTCATAGTTTTTTGATTTGGTGGACACATGTGGCCCCATGAGGATGCCCGGGGGCCCCATGAGTTGAGTCACCCCTGTTGGTGACCTGTAAAGGGGGCAAACGTGACCATATTGGAAACATCGGTCGCCGTTGCGCGAGTGTGTCCCATTTTAAAGCATGTGACCCTTTGAGTATCTATGTACCTGCATCTTTTATAGGCTTTTTTGAAAAATTTGTGTAAGTGGGGGCCCCATGCATTAAAATAAAAAAAAGTTATTGCCAGGGGGCCCCATGAGTTGTCAATCTGCCCCTGCTATTAAGGATTATGTTACTACAGGTCTGTCAAACCGCTCCCCTAAAAACTGATATATTGTCTACACCCCTAATTTATCATGCCACAGTGGCACCATCCTCCTCCCCTTCCATTAAAATCTTATGGTTGCGTTTCACAGTATTATTGCATCCTAGTTGCTGGGTTATGACTTTGTACTCACATATATGGATGTTTCAAATCCTTTCTGACAGCAATGAAGGTGATCCAAAAAAAAAATTTAAAGCAGCAGTGTAAAAATAAAAATAAATAAATATTTAAAAAAGAAAACATTTTAAAGTGCCCGTGTCCCCATGTGTTGGTCCCATGCACACGGAAACAACGATCATCCCACACGTGAGGTATCACCATGAATGTCAGATCATGGCGGTCATTCCAGCACCAGGCCTCCTGTGTAAATCTAAAGTGGTGACCAGGGGCGACTGACCATTTGGAAACTCGGGCACTGCCTGAGGGCCCGGGGTCAGTAGGGGCCCCATGAGATGCCCCTGGTACCTTTTTCATAGGCTTTTTTGAGTTTGGACAAGGACACAGGGGCCCCATGATCCCCTATTGCCCGAGGGCCCCTTGAGTTGTCAGTCCGCCCCTGGTGATGACCTGTAAAGGTTTTTAAAGCATTGCCTATTGATAGTAGTATTTACGTCGTCTGTCACCGTTGCGCGGGTGTGTACCATTTTAAAGCATGTGACACGTTTGGTATCAATGTACTCTGCATCTTTTATATTTTATGAAAAATTGGGTTATGTATTGTGGGGGTTTTTTTTGCATTAAAATTCAAAAAAAGTTAATTTAAAAAAAACTATTTGGAAAACTGTGTGACGTTAAAAAATTGGAAACCACCAATTTATTCTCTGGGGCATCTGCTTTAAAAAAAAAAAAAATATATATATATATATATATATATATATATAATTTTGGGGGTTCTAAGTAATTTTCTAGCAAAAAATACTGATTGAAATACATGTTAACAAAAAGTGCCAGAAAAGGCCTGATCCTAAAGTTGATATTACATAGTTACATAGTTAGTCTGGCTGAAAAAAAACAAAAGTCCATCCAGTTCAACCATTAAAAAAAAAAAAAAAAAAAGTTATCCTATACCCACAGTTGATCCACAGGAAGGCAAAAAAAAACCCAGCAGAGCATGATCCAATTTGCTCCTGCAGGGAAAAAATTCCTTCCTGATCAATATACACTATACACTATATTGTTTATATAGGAGGGTGTCTATGGGAAGGTTTGACCATTCTTCCAGAAGCGCATTTGTGAGGTCAGGCACTGATGTTGGATGAGGAGGCCTGGCTTGCAGTCTCCACTCTAATTCATCCCAAAGGTGTTCTATGGGGTTGAGGTCAGGATCAGGTCAGTCAAGTTCCTCCACCCCAAGCTGGCTCCTCCATGTCTTTATGGACCTTGCTTTGTGCACTGGTGCGCAGTCATGTTGGAACAGGAAGGGGCCATCTCCAAACTCTTCCCACAAAGTTGGGAGCATGAAATTGTCCAAAATGTCTTGGTATGCTGACGCCTTAAGAGTTCCCTTCACTGGAACTAGGGGGCCAAGCCCAACCCCTGAAAAACAACCCCACACCATAACCCCCCCTCCACCAAACTTTACAATTGGCACAATGCAGCCAGGCAAGTCCCATATTCCTGGCAGCCGCCAAACCCAGACACATCTATCGGATTGCCAGACAGAGGAGCGTGATTGGTCATTCCAGAGAACACGTCTCCACTGCTCTAGAGTCCAGTGGCGGCGTGCTTTACACCACGGCATCCCATGCTTTGCATTGCACTTGGTGATGTAAGACTTGGATGCAGCTGCTCGGCTATGGAAACCCATTCCATGAAGCTCTCTACACATTGTTGCTGTGCTAATCTGAAGCCACACCAAGTTACATTGTAGGACCACGGTGCAACTGCGAGCCAAGCGTTTAACTTGTGGTTGTGGTGCAGCCCCATTCATCACAATGGACAAATCTGAAACAAATAAAAACAGCTGCGGGCAAATGTTAGAATTTGGGTTGGCGGCTGGTAGGGCAGCAAAATCGTGGCTTGGTTGCCTGTTTTTTACCAACGCTCAGGTGAAAAAGTCCTAAAGCAGGCCATAAATGGGTCCAAATCCAAACAATTTTTCGCTTGGAAAATCGAAAACATTGTTCATTCTGTAATCCGATGGTGCCACCAATGATTTCAAAAATCGGTCGTTTTTCACGAATTTTCCAGCATGCCCGATAAATGAAATGGGGAGGAACCACGAAAATCGGCCGGTGGCATTGCCCCACTAACAGAGCGAAAATCGGCCTATTCTTAGGTCCGATTTTTGAAAGAAAATCGAAAATCAACACATGCATGGCCGGCCGTAGGATAGGCCCCATCAGATCGACCTTGAAACTCTTCAGCTCTGCAGCTCCACCCATTGATAACCAAGCCCCACCCATTTAGGCAAAGCCTTTTCCTTACTGCTTCTGGATTCTGCGTCTGTCAGCAATAAAGGGTATAATTTGCCTTCAGGAAAAAACTAATTAGTGGTTTCCCCTGAGAATCCCAATCTAGGGTCTGAGGCGAAATGATAATGTGTTTGATGCCATGCCCTCTCCAATCTGCAAACATTATCTTCCTTTACTTGGACTCCAGCAAGAAATTAGGAGGAAATCAGTTTATTTCATAGAAGTGCTGTGTGCTCCAGCTCCAGCCCCCTCATCTCTCGCTGAAATCGATTATCCAAAACAAATGGCACTCACAGACATTGTGTGTTAGTCTTGCTGAATTGCAGATCTGGTCCTGTCTTCCTTGTCTACATG